TTTGTATTTCAGACTGAAGATCCCTCCATGTTCACTAGTTCCGAGCACATCTGCCCTGTGTGTATTGTAAATGCTTTCCCAGGTTTTAACTGTGCTATCTGTGGATTGTAGTTGTGGCATGTCCCACAAATTGAGATCGCTAATCATTTCCCAATATGAGGCAGAAGAATTGGTATTTCTAGAGATGCTTGCTCATCAAGGTAATAGCATTCCTAAAATAGGAGTAATTCTAAATAATTTGCAGACAGTTTTGTCTTTCTGAGTAATAGTCAGATGATCCTGTATACATGGAACTTGGTGTTTGTCATTTGCATTTACAATGGAAGTTGAAACTTAAACTAGGAAAGGGTTAAAAATACATATTTTGTTTCACTGCTAGTTTCAACTCTGCAGAGTAGGAGCTGAGGCTCCCCGGTGCTGCTCAGTGGAGTCCCTGTGTGTTGTGCCCCTGTGCAAGGGAATTTGGAGCGTTTTGTTGTCTTCCCCAGCAGTTCTTGCATTTACAAGAAAAAAATCTTGACGCCAGGTTACGCATGTGCTATCCTTGCCTGACCTTCATGCTACATAGGTAAAAGAAAAGCCTTTTCCCCTGCTCTCTCTTTCGAGGCCAGACCCAACATCTTTGTAACCACTGGCAGCTCTTTATCATTTACCATCAGCATGTTATTCATCAAATACCATTTGTGTGAGCTCTGATTCATACCATTTGTGCCATGTTTATAAATCAGTTTTTTATATTTTTGTACTGAAAGAAATTGGAGCACTTTAGAAAAGTTTATTTCAAATTCCATTTGTGTTTGTACCTGGAAGGAAATCTCTCATGAAAGTAGATCCTGTTGGCATGACTCTGTGCATCTCACTCAGAGCTGTGAACTCTCTTGATGCTTTTTAGTCTTAGGTCTGGTTTCTAGGCCCACCTTGCACTGTAAAGATTTAATAAATAATCATGGTCCATGGTTAAATTGACCATTTTGTTGGGGAAGTGTTTAGTTTTGTTTTTTGTTAGGGTGTAAACATTGTATATAATTCCTTTACTGTTGATACTGCAGTAGCAACATCTTTGTAGTCCTTATTTTATTTGTAAAGTTGATGGTTAAATGTTAATATTCTGTTGAATTGTGCACTCTTGGTTAATTGTAAACTTGATCTTAGCACACCAAATGATGATTTTTACAATGATTGCAATGTTTCTCCACTGAAGGATTTCAGAGCTGCAATAGGACTGAAACCAACTTCTAGCAATAAAAAAAAAGCATTTAAAAACTGACTGCCTTAATATATGTATTTTTTAAAAAAAAAATTATTTATTATTTTCTGTGTGAACCAAAGATCAAAGCAGCAGCTGCTTCTCACATGCTTCTCATTTTCTACCCTGGACAGAAATAATGTGCCATATGAACAAAACTCTGATGGTTTTCCAAAGGAGAGGACGGAGCATAGGAGGCATTAAGTGGAGGATACTAATAGCTGCAGACCTTACCAGTGAGGTGAGCGCCCTAGGAGAAAATCAGCTGGTCTCAAAATGTCTGAACTCAGCATACTAGTGAGAGAGTGAACTTAACAAAGTTGCTTATATTAGCATGTAGGTACTTTGCATGGTGCCAGTCTGAGACATGCCTGGCTCTGTCCCAGACAGTATCGGTTCCCATTTGGAACAAGTATAACAAAAATAGAAACTTTCTCCCTAGTGCTTGTGCCAATTTGGCAGCCCTCACTCCCAGCACCATGCCATAGCCTCTGGC